TTGAATCTAGTAAGAACACCCATTCAGGATGAAACCTCTCTTTAGGGAGGTGAGCAGTAAAAGGGTATTACAAGCAAATTAGTAAAGACTTAAGTTTTTTGAAAGGAAAAAAGAAAAGAAATTCTCCTGAAAAAATGGAAATTTTCTAATTAGAGAAATGCAAGCATGAAAATCCAAGGCACATTTTATGAATCTCTCTTCTCCTCGGGTCATATAGAAGTCATTGAAATAAGCCAAGAATACTTAGGATCTTGTATTAAAGGCACCCAGCCTCTCTGAGTTTGATTTTTCTCAAGGCTACAGTCAGAATATTTGTAACCACCCCAGATTCACATAATATCTGATACAATCTCAAAGTGATAGTACCAAGAGGCTGAGCCTTGGAGGCGACTAGAACATGCACTCTCATGATGGAATTATTGCCTTTTGAAAGAGGCCTGTGGGGTCATTATGCCATGTGGGGATGCCTCGGGAAGATGCTGTCCATCAGGAAGGGGCAGTCCATTTCTATACTATGAAACACATACTGTGAAACATCATTAAAATGGGTTCTTCACCGACCAAAGTACATTCACATCTGTGTAGTATATCCATGATTCAGTTGGCTCTTTTATATGGATATGTCATAGTGTTGACCCATTTACTAGTTAGGGTGTTCAGATTGTTTTCAGTCTTTCTTCGTTCTCAAACTACTATAAGTACATTTTCCCACGTTCCTGCGTGAATATGTGTGTAGGAACGAGGTCTGGATCCCGTGGTAAGCGTGTTTTGTGGGTGACAGTTCACTACTTTACACTTCTGTACTTTGCCTCCTTGCAGTTGCGAACCAGTGGTTTTGATGTAATTTGGGTTTTTTTTTTTTTTCAAGACAGGGTTTCTTTCTGCAGCCTTGGCTGTCCTAGAACTAGCTCTGTAGAGTAGGCTGGCCTGGAACTCAGAGAGATCCACTTGCCTCTGCCTCCCAAGTGCTGGGATTAGATGGTTCAGCCATCAAAGGCTAGGCTTACAAACAAACCTTTTTTTCCCTCTTGGCAGTAACCATCATAATAGGAGTATCTGCCTGTGATTTTAACTTACATTTTTTCTAGTCATTAATAATGTTGAGCATGAAAAAAAAAAATAAATAAATAAAAAGGAGATCAGAGAAAAAAAAATAATGTTGAGCATGTTTTATTTTCCCCTGTCATATTGCCCAGTCTTCATTTCTTCTTTTGTGAAATGTCTTTCTATACTTTACAGTTTTCTAAAATCACTTTTTAAAAAGATAGAGTTTGCATGGAAATTTCCTATCCACCACTGGTCCCCAGTCACACATAGCCTTTCTCATCACCAGTAGTCCAAACACCAGGTTTATTTGCTCAGCTGATGAACTTGCACTGACACATTTCACTCAAACTTTCAGGAGAGTTGATGCTTGTTTTCTGTAATGGTTTTCATGAACTTCATCTTAATTGGATTTTTGTTAAATTTGACTTTAGTTATTCTTTTATTTTGTATTTTTTCAAGTGACCTTACATGCCTGCACCTAATATTGAATTAACTGCCTTTGCCACATTGTGTAGTAATCATAGATCTCTATCTCCCTCTTTATGTTATAGTTATTAACATATTTTTTTGCAGTTAAAAAATCTTTAAAACTTTGAATTTTTGTTTTGAATATTCATACAGATTTCAAAAGAGCAAAGATGGAAAACTAATCTATTTCCTTAGACATCGTTTCTGTTATTCTTCCTTTACTTCCAGATTGTTGGCTTTCTTTTTGGTGTTGTTTCTCTTTGATCAGAAAAACTTGCTTTAGCTTTTTTCTAACAGATCTTTTATGCTCTCCTTATTCTGGGAGTGCCTCTGTTCCACCATATTTCTGGGTGAGTTTTCACTGCCCGTGGAGTTCCGGATTGGCTTTTCAGTTCCTTCTGACACTCAACCATTGTATTCTGTCCTGTGCGAGTTCTGGTGCGAAATCACCAGTTACTTTTAATATTTGAAATATAGGATATCTCAGATATTCTGTAGGTGGCTTTTATTGTCATTGTTTTCATTTTGTTTGGTTTGGTTTTTATTTTGCTTTCAGTAGCTTATTATGCTATGGTTGGTCATGGTTTTCTTTGTGCTTTTGAGGGCGATTAGGCTTCTTAGATCTGTAAATTGATATCATTCTGCAAATCTGAAATGGTCTTAGTAATCATTTATTCCAAGGTTTTCTGTTTCTCCTCTTCTTGGAATTCAGTGACACAAATGCTAGGAAACCTTTGCTATTTGCCCACCTGTCTTTAGGATTCTGTCTGCTGTCATCTAGGTATCCTTGTTCGTCCACGGGGAGTTTCTGTCTCTTTCCCTGGTCATCACCATTTAGCTTTTGGTCCCAGTCAATGAATTCATTTAACATACTGTTTTCACTTCTCCAATTTCTCTTTAATTCTTTTTTATATAGTTTTTATTTCATTACTGGGAATGGTGTTAGGGTTTTTTGTCCCTCCTGATTGCTTTTGTCTTTATCTCATAGACCACAGTTCCTACGACTAGTGTCTAATTCTAACATCTCGCTCATCTTACTTGACATCTGTTGATTTTTCTTTTGAGGGTTGACACATTTTCTTATTTCTTTGTAAGACAATATTTTAGATTCTGGACATTTTGAATATTGTAAGAGTCAAGATTCTATTAAAATTCCCTAGAGGGTGAAAAAATTGAAACAACCAACTAAGATGATGGGACCATACTTGTCACAGCACTTGCGGGAGCGCTCCCGTGTCAGTGTGTCGGCGCCTGAGCTGTTGCTCTGAGGTTCTGTCTCGTGTACGTGCTGTGATGAGGACTGGGATAGCCCTCCTTAACTGCCCTGGGCTGGGTGTTCTTTCCCAGTACACACGGGGCGGGGGGGGGGGGGGGGCGGGGGTCTGTTTTTTCTTGCATGTGCCCCTGCAGTGTTCCTTGTGTGAAGTTATTAATCCTATGTCAAATCCAGACATGAGAGGTGATGAAAATAATAGCCACATGGGTCACTTGCTGTCTGTCCTCCTCCCTCTCTTTGGCCAGCTTGCTGATGGCCAAATAACTTTCTTAGAGACCTTGGGTTACTGCTTTTGACTTTGTCCAGAGTTTTTCATTGTAATCATCGAGAGAAAGAGAGCTTCTGGAGAGCTCACTCCATCTTGTGTTGTCTGTGACTGCTTGTTTGTTTCCCAGCCGCCCAGACCCGAAATAACCACACAGAAACTGTATTAATTAAAACGCTGCTTAGCCTATTAGCTTATGCATATTTCTAGCTAACTCTTACATCTTAAACTAACCCATTTCTATCAATCTGTGTATCACCATGTGGCTGTGGCTTGCTGGTAAAGTTCCATCTGGTATCTGTCTCCTGCTGCGGCTACATGGGTTCTCTTTGACTCTGCCTTCTTTCTCCCAGCATTTAGTTCAGTTTTCCTGTCTAGTTCTATTCTTCCCTGTTATAGGCCCAAGCAGCTTCTTTATTCATTATACAATAAAAGCAGCACATATACAGAAGGACTTCCCATATCAATCTTGGCTGACCACGTTTTGCTTTTAACTGGCATATGAAAAATTTAAAATGTAGATTATAAATGTCTGTGGTTTAGACAAGTTGAAGCTATTTTTTAGAAACTTTGTGTATTTTATTTTAAATTATTTTAAGCTGTTTTATATTTACAATATTAGGTGCACTAAAAATGAAAGACTGTTAAGCATCACTTTTGGCCAAAGAAAACAGTGTTAATTTTGTTTATTTCTGCCTTTTTTACCCAACTGACAGTTAACCATCAAAACAGAGACATTCATGCATGCCTTCCTAGAGAAAACATATTGTGAATGCTATGGGGTGTTACTAATATTTTAAAATTTATAAAATATTTGTGTTAACTACTCTTTTGAACTATACAGAAATCATAATAAATTCATCATTATCTTATCTAAATTATGAGCTAGCTATTCCTTTCCATTGATTTAATTTTTATTTTTGAGAAACTAGGAAAATGTTTATTAATATGTATTTTAGCATTTAGTGATTATATGAAGATTGGTACCCATTCAATTTGCTTAGGAAAGTGTGCTTAATGGAGCTGACTTTAATTTTGTTTGGTCTGATTGTCTCTGATACGGTATTTGACCACTCTGGAACTCACTGTTTACCACAAGTTTCCTCAGACTTGTGACTCTCCTGCCTTAGTTTCCCAAATGACAGCTCTGTGTCCTCATGCCTGGCTTTAAGTCTTATTTGTGAAAGATTTATTTTACTGACTTCTAAGCCTGAATGATACTACTCCGTTTATGTATGTGTTTGTGTGTTTGTATAAGAATGTGTGTACATATGCACATAATTATAGATACTAATTAATAAACATAATGTTTGAAATTCTTGTAAGGATACTAGGAACTTGTGTCCATAGTATAATTTTATTCTTATATAGTCTTTGTATAACTTTATTATACAAAGATAATCTGAAAGTAAATTTAATTTGGGGAAAGAATGATATGGAATATTATATTGAAGGGCCAATGTGTACACTTCATGTTTTGGACCCTAGGATTGTTTATGCTATTGACTTTTGTATATAAAGTATAATACAAATAAGAAGGTGCTTACAGGTAGATCTTGTGAACTACATCTCATCTTTATGTGTAACAGCACTTTGATCTTTTATTTAAAATTCAGCTGTATGTTGTCTTGTATTAGAGAACTGACAAACTTGTGTCTGTCTTGAAGTGATTCAAAATTTTTCTTTTTTTTTAGATTTATTTATTTATTTATACAACATTCTGCCTCGATGTATGCCCGCACGTAAGAACAGGGCACCAGATCTCATTACAGATGGTTGTGAGCCACCATGTGGTTGCTGGGAATTGAACTCAGGACCTCTGGAAAGAGCATCCAGTGCTCTTAACCTCTGAGCCATCTCTCTAGCCCCTCAAAATTTTTCTTAAGCTGTTAACCTTGAACCTTTTTTGTAGTTTTTTGAAATTTATTTCTTTGTCCTTTTTAGGTGCTCTCTGGATGTGTATAGTATTAAACCCTCACTGTAAGTTGGAGCAGAAGACAAGCTGGCTAAAACAGCTGAAAAAATGGAACAGTGTTGATGTCTGTCCCTGGGAAGATGGAAATCATGGTGGTGAATTACCCAACTTAACCAATGCCCTGCCTCAGGGTGCAAATGCCAGCCAAGGTGAGTTCACGGTGGCATCCTGCCCATTCTCACCTGCTCTTTTGTGTACGTGTTTTGCTAACAGATAATATATTAATGTTAACAGATAATGTGGGGACGTATTCAAGGACAATACATGGTTACTTTGAATGTATGCCTATATTTTAATTTTAAGTGAGAACACTATTTTTTATACACATTATAGATAGATATGATATTCCTATGTAGTGGTGTCTATTAAAATGATCTAATAATAGTTTAGTTTGAATTTTATTTTTTAATTAAAAATATAGAGTAGGGCAGTAATATTTATTATGTAAACCAGTGTTGAGACGTGACCATTTCTGGCTTTGTTGGTCAATTCATATTTGGGCTATTGTGCATTTAATTAGAAGTTCTTAGACTCACAGCAAGGAAGACTGAAACTGAGGGGCCTGTGATATTGTTGGCATTTGTATCAGGGAAATTGCGTATTGTAAAAGATTGTGTAGTATATTTGGCCCCACCCACAGTAGGCAAATAGTGCCCCCCCAGTCTCTGAGACAACCAAGAAATGTTCCCAGATGTTTCCAGAATAATCTATTATTTTATCCTATTATTTCAGTTTCTCTTCCACTCTTTAAAAACAAACTACCCCTTTGCTTGACTTTCTTCTCTTGAGATGCTCCTGAAATTTCTGGTCTTTTTCAGAATCACACTCTTAACTTGTTAAGTCTTGGCCAAATCTACTGTCATTTAGTAACTCATACCAGTATTCATGCATGATGCTATGCTTGGTGGGGTTCTTGAAAGTGACTTAAATCACGATAGAAGCAGGATTGGAGTCAACATTGGGAGGACCCAGAATCATACATTCCTTGCTGGCCACAGAGGAGCTGATATTCCTAAAGGAGATGCTATGTGGTGTGCTGAGTTCAAGTGTGTTGTTAACAGTGTTTTTGTCTTTACAAAGAAAGTCCACAGCACTAGTCCAATCAAAAGAGGTTTCAGGGCCTAGAAAGATTATTGGCAGGCTTTGTCCCCCCCCCCACCCGAGACAGGGTTTCTCTGTAGCTTTGGTTCCTGTCCTGGAACTAGCTCTTCTAGACCAGGCTGGCCTTGAACTCACAGAGATCTGCCTGCCTCTGCCTCCCGAGTGCTGGGAATTCAAGTATTATAGTGTTATTCAAGTTGTATTTGAAGTCCACCCTGTCTATATCATGCCCATGGTAATTTTATTTAATACTTAGATGTACCATCTCAAATCTCCATTTTTTTTCTCAAGTTGTCAGGTTTAATTGGTTAACATTCTTTTTTTTTTATTGCTAGGGAAAGGTTCTTTAATGTCTCCATAGCTGATCTTTAATCTTTTGTTTTTGTAATTGGAGATTTTCTTATTTTTGAGTTTTGGTTGCTGCTGTTTTGGAGGGATGCTAATTTGATATCCCTACTCTTTGCATTTTACTTTCTATTTATGATGTTACTTTGGGTTTAATATGAAAATTCTGTAGGTTTTAGAAACTGGGATGGTTGTGGAGACATTGCTCAGCAGTTAGGAACACTAACTGCCCTTGCAGAGGACCTGAGCTCAGTTCCCAGTGCTTGCATAGTCGCTTACAACCTGTTATTCCAGTTCCGGGGATCTGATGCACACTCTCTGCCTCTGTGGGCATGGACTCACAAGGAGGCAAAACACCAAGACATTTAAAGAAGTGATGTGGCCTCCAGGACACCAGAGTTCATTTACAGTTTGGTCTAGGCAGTGTAAACCCAGGTCTATATTTCAGAGGCAGTATTTGCGGCTATTGTGCCAAAGGCACCAGCGTGTCTGCTTTTAGCAGAACTTTGACGGCCCTTTCTGAGAGGCTGTGAGAAGAGCCATTCCTGCAGAGCGTGCTGGCTACCATCCTACAGAGGGCATGTTTACTCATACCTAGAGCACCTCTCCAGAGCAGAGCCTGGGGACTTAGAGGCCAAAGCCATAGCATGGCACTGAGGTCACTGTGCCTGTGGGACAGATGTGTTAGAGTACAGGCAGGGCTTCTGATGCCCACCGTGACTAGGGTGACTTAGTAGGCGAGTGAAGGGCATCAGGATCATACTCTCTCAGGAGAAAGCCAGTTTGATTTTTGTAGATGTTTAAAAAAAAAGAATTACTCCCTTCACACTTTACCAAATTTCCTATTTATTGTTATAGATAGTTAATTTTTAATGCTTATGAATGCATATGTATTAATTTTTATGCTTCTTGTGTGATATGCCCTCTGTGGTCACTTAAAGTTTTGTGAGAGTTTAGTCTTTTTGTGGCTGTCGGTTCTGTTGGTATCTTGGAGCAAACTGGTTTTAAAAGCTGTGTACGTTCCCCATTTTTCTCTGTGCTGCCGTGAAACAGGAACAGCGTGGTTTGTTCTTCTAATGAGAGCACACTACGTGCTCGTATTGGCACCCCAGATAGAGAACCAAGTCAGTACTTGGAGCCCTTAACTCCCTCTTTCACAGTGTATTATCAAGTTGCTATTTTGAAGTTTCTTTAGTTTTAAGTTTTACCTCTGCAATTTGAAATAAACTTTAAGTGCTAAGGTCATTTAAAAGTACCTTCAGGATACTTGAATTTTAGGACATTTAATTATGAGAGGTCCCCAAACTGTTTTTTTTTTAATTTATTTATTTTGCTTGACAAAAGGCTGCTACAGGTTGGGCCTGTCTTCCAATTTGCAGGGTGGTCATCAGTCTACTGCCAGCAGGGATCCTAGTCCGGAGTCACAGAAGATGATCGCTTATGTCTCTTTATCTGTCATCTGTGCACTTCGATACGTCTTCCTCTAGATATGGATAACTAATGAGATCAACCTGCAGTAATGTCTTTGATAGACTGCCAACAGCTATCGTAGGTGGCTGCATTAGTTGAACGCGTAGTAAGGGGTGTATTGGATTCTTAGCAGTACCTGGCTGTGGGATCCTGACAAGCCGTGGTGTTTTCTGCTCAATTTCCCCGAGCAACCTAGATAGATGAATTCTCTAGGCTCTTCTTCGCCACACGCTTGTGTTTGCTGTTCGTGGTTTGCCGGCTATCTGCTCACACAGGTCCAGGGGCAGGAAGATAATCCTTGCCATAAGGAAGCTCCACAGTTTGCTCCTTATTCAATAGAGTCTCAGAGAGCAGTGCAGGGGGCCTGTACTTGATCAAAATTAAGTATACATAAATGACTGTTGACTGCCCCATGATTTAGTGGATCCTTGTGCCACAGTTGAAGGTGAGTTTAGAATTGGGGCCCAAGGGGCGGGAGTGCCTGTAGTCTCTTTAGGGACGGAGTAATCCAAGGAGCTGAGGTGAGAACGGTCTTTATTCCCCAAACATTTCTTTTCTTCGTCAGGTCCTGAACCTTGAACCCCCTTCGGACTGTATGCTTCTGCTCTCTTGTGATGCCCCGGCATGCATTATGCCGGGGACATCACACCAGTCATGGAACCTGCCCAGGAGTCAGGAGACAGCCTGTAGGGGCAAGGTAAGTGCGCTGGTTTGTTTTGTAGCTATGTTGTGTGGCTTTGTGAAATGTTAAACATATGCATTTATGCCCTTTGGGATATAAAGTGGCATTTAATCATTATATCCCAAGAAGCATAATAGTTTTAATTGTGCAAAACCGCACAATATAGTTAAAAAATACAACCAAAAGCACAACCCTTATGCATATTTTTAAGGCTGACTGCATCTTCCTGAAAGGTTCCATGGCTGGTGTCGCATCTCTTGCACAGTGTTTGTGAGAGCTGTTGATCCCATCAGGGGCAGCCCAACACAGCACCTCAGAAGTGGGGAGCAGTGAGTTTTCACTTTTTTTTCTTTTTTTAAAGCTGAGTGCCTCTTTTGAGTATATTTGGCATGGAGACTAGACTTGACAATTCGTTTTGCAGGATGCCTTGAACTTAGCTTTTAGTGGCTGCAGAATGTTTGGTTTGATGAAGCCAGTGAGTAACTGGATGCTCTTTAGGCTGACTGCCTTCTAGAATTAGGATGTGAGAATATTCACTCACCCTTCCCCCTTCTGCTTAGGGGGTGCAGGACAGTGTGTGTGGGTGTGTTCATGAACATCTGGCCACAGAATGGTGTGACTGATTTATTCACATGTGAATAATAGCTGACACGGCTTTCTGAATTGCGGAAAAAACAGATTCATCGAACAGGCCCCATCGGACAGTGTTCACCAGAGCCATCGAGGCATGTGATCTCCACTGGCAGGATAGTCACTTGCAGCACATTATCAGCAGTGACCTGTACACCAACTACTGTTACCATGACGACACTGAAAACTCCCTCTTTGACTCCCGAGGGTGGCCCCTCTGGCATGGTAAGTGGCCAAACCGGAAAGACATTTCCATGACTTACTTCTTTGTTTAGTTTCTATAGCATTATTGGAGTGGGAGGCGGAGAATTGAGGCATTCAGTGGGAGATGGATGAATGCTTGGCAAAGGGGGCTGAAATTTTCATTCAGATCCCAGTTCAGAAATGGTTTCCCATATCATCTTCTATGGTATTTGGGGAGAAACATCTTACCACAGTAGCCTGCTTTTCTGGATGTATCAGACAGTGTCAACTTTACCCCCTCTGGGTTTTTGTTGTAGAGCATGTTCCGACAGCCTGTGCAAGAGTGGATGCATTGCGCTCTCATGGGTACCCCAGAGAAGCCCTGAGATTAGCAATAGCTATTGTGAACACATTACGGCGACAGCAACAGAAACAGTTGGAAATGTTCCGGACTCAAAAAAAAGGTGATTGTGGACGAGGTTGTCTCTATTGGAATGGGATTCCTGGTGAGGATGCAGCTTGGTTTTATGTTCTGCTGGAAGAGAGATGTGTAAAAGCGAAACCGTAGAAATGACCTGACTTAACTTAAAATTGCTTGGCTTTACACATGTGACACACAGACATTCATGCAGTCAGGACACCCATACACATAGGGTAAAGACAAAGGAAAAAGGGTAAATTTGATAGCATCTCTAAAAATAAAGACTAAGTTGTTTTGGTTGAATGTTGAAAGAAATAAAAACTCATATAACTCTTTAAGGAAATTTTTATTTTTGGAATAGTTAATGATATTTCTGGATCATTATAAAATATGAAGGTGTATGAAAGCCAGATACCTTCTCTTGTGCCCGAGTGTTTTAATTCTAACACTGAGAACTCTAGAATGGCTGCCCATCCTTGAATCCCAGCAATAGATTGTGGGTGGGCACCCCTTGGTCAATGACTCCTTTCTTAGCAGGTCTCAGCAGATGGTCTGTCTCGGAGAGCCACTGAGAGCAAACCAACTAACTTTTAGAAAGTATTTATTTATTTATTTATTCATTCATTCATTTATTCGAGGCAGGGTTTTACTGTAGTTGTGGAGCCTGTCCTGGAACTAGTAGCTCTTATAGACCAGGCTGGCCTCAAACTCAAAGAGATCTTCCTGCCTCTGCCTCCCGAGTGCTGGGATTAAAGGTGTGCACCATCACCACCCTACTCTCTAGAAAGTCTTAAAGCCTGGCATTCTTTAGCTTTATAGCCATAATAATTTGTGTTTGAGGACATGCTTTTACTAAACGTGAAATCCGGCTTTGTTATTTCGAATTCTACAAATGACATTGGATGGGCTGTCAGCTGACAGGACACATTTAACTTGTCTGTATCTCAGTTTAGAAGCCTTCTGGTTTTGAATAAATACCATAATAGTAATGCGAAGGGTTCTCAGCTGCTGCCCAGATAGTGGAATGCATCTGCTTTTCCTGACTGCATACTCCTCGTTCCTTCTGTAGGCAAACACTTCTTGGGGTGACTTGGTTTTGCCCCCCCCTTTTAAGTTAAGAACAGCTCTAGTTACTGTTGGCTTTAGTTCTTAGTTGTGTTTTTAATCCTTTGGTACTTGCATTACCCACCTTGAGTACAAATAAATGTTGTTGGAATGGGCTGGAAGTTGGGGCAAGTGCTGCCTCTAACTTGTAATTCCCTCTATGGCATAAGTGCTGTGAGTTGCTGGCACTGTCGGTCACAGGGTCACAGTGGAAGTAATACCAGAGCTACAGTGTGGACCACAGAAAGGGACATGCGAAAGTCAGTGGCCTCGATATGTGATGGTGTTGCTCATGCTTCCGAGATATATTGTTAGGCCCTGTAGAAGGCTTTTCTGAAATCACTTCCTCTAAACACAGATTGCCTCTGGCCCAGGGTATCTGCTTCTGAATGGTGTAAAGGAGTGCTTTCAGGCTGAGCGAATGCACAGTACTGTTTCACGTAGAAAATTGGCTCATGATGGTTATGTCTGATTTGTTCTTTAGAAACCATGTTAATTTTTCTGAGGAATGTTAGTTTTTTAGTCCTGATTTGTAAGAGGGTTCTACTTAAGAAACACCAAACATAAGACTGTTGAAGTGTAATGTACACTTCACATTAGATTAGACTGTTGTGATTATCTAGGAACCAGTTACGCTATAGCTAGTGCTGGGCCGTCCGTGACACATTTCTGTGTCATCCTCCAAATGACAACACTTGTTTTGGGCAGCTCTTAAGTTTTGCTAGGACTGTATCTTTCTCTGAGTTGCTATTATTGTTTGTCCTAATATTAAAGACAGAGGGCATTGCTTAGCAACTGTAGTGTCTGTCTTCAGTGCCCTCGGGCGTGATTTGTTAGCTGATTCTGAGGGAGTGTATTTCTTACCCACCTGTAGATGTGATTGTCTACACACAGTTCCCTTAACCGTGTACAGTTCTTTTAGTCAAGCATAGAGTTGACTGTTGCGCTGTCATGTTGGCTCTCGTGCATGCTATGCGTATGGAAGTCAGTGACAGAAACCAAGGAAATGACGACCTTTCTGAGAACTCAAACCCAAAGTCACTGCTCTCGTTCCTCATTGGGATGACCCAGTGAGTGCCGGCACACTGACAATGTGGACCCAGCTGATGAGTCCAGGCCTCTTAACCGTCTCTAATGACATTCCCACGGGAGCAAGGATGGCAGGATGCTTAGCTACTTAGGGAAAAACTCAGGATTCTCTGTCTCTCTATAGTATGACAGTCCTGTGACTATTAGTGCATGATGTTGAACACATGAATTACACAGATGTGGGGAGCCATTCTTGGACTTGAGTATCATTTATATTGATTGGTTGGTAGATGAACTTTTGCAACTCAAAACAGCTCACAAGGTGGAGATTATATATAGTACCATTCCACTGGTGGTGGTAGTGTTGTTTTAAAAGGGGCTTTGCATGTGAATTAATTATTAATTTTTCAGAATGCTGCTATTAAATCAGTCTGTATTATCTTTCTCTCCATCTCCTTTCTCCTCATTTTTCGATTCCTTTTTTTAAACAGAGCTACCCCATAAAAGTATAACCTCAATAACCAATCTGGAAGGCTGGGTTGGACACCCCTTAGATCCCGTGGGCACTCTCTTCAGCAGCCTCATGGAGGCTTGCCTCACTGAGGATGAAACCTTCTCTGGGCTCCCAGATTTTACAGGTAAAGCCATTGGCACTTGTTCGTTCTTGTATTTTTCTAAACCCAGAGTGATGTTCAGCTTTGTTTTTATTTTTATGTGAGTGCGTATGTGTGTGTATATGTATGTATGCACATAGACATATTTTAATGATTTATTGATTCCTATTTTATGTACTTGGATGTTTTGCCTGCCTGTATGTATGTCTGTGTGATGGCGTCAGATCTCCTGAAACTCGAGTTAGAGACAATTGTGAGCTGCCATGAGGGTGCTGGCAATTGAACTAGGGTCCTCCAGAAGGACAGCCAGTGCTTTTAACTGCTGAACCATCTCTCCTTCCCCTGCAGCATATAACATGGTTATAAAACCATGTAGTTGATAGTATCAGTGGGTTAGTGAGAGCTAAGAAGTGGGTGCTCGTGCCTTGTGTAGTCTTCCCCAATAGGAAAATCTTCAGAATTGATGTAACCAGAAAAATACTCTTTTTTGGCACATGATACTACACTAAGAATTTAGTAGCATTTATGACTTGTCCAACCTTGATTAAAACATACATACATACATACATACATACATACGTACATACACACACACACACGCATACATAGACTGGGTACATAGCATTCAGAACTAGAATACTTAATTGTTTTTCAAGTTTGTCTTGAAACTTATATGAAAAGTGACTTAAGGTCTAATTTAAGAGAACTGTTAAATATCTTTCAAATTTGTTTGGCATCATATATTCCTTTAAAGTGGTGTTTTGAGATTTTTTTCTTTGGTCTCATGGGAATTCAGAATCATCCCTCAAAACATTACCCAAGGCAGGGGTAGGGAAGAGTGAAATTATCCTTTGTCGGTCCTACGATGAGATGAAACAGGTTTGATTATCTTGTCCACCTTGGTTTTGCCCTTGATAGCTGCCTTCTGTGGGGAGGGTGGCAGATGTGAGTCGGACGACTGGAGGTAGGATCTCGAGTGGAGGCTCCTGGACAGAGACGAGAGCAGCTCTCTTTTCATTGAGTGACTCTGAGTAACAGAAGGACCCTGAAGCTGACCTACAGATGCTCCGTTCTTCACTGACTTCACTGGGGGTTTAGCATGCAGTCAAAGTATGAAAACATTTTTCACACCAATCTTAAAAATGTGCCATTATCATCATGTAATTTTTAAAGTTAACTTTTTATTATTAGCATATATTGGATATGCAGTATAGTGAATTATTTGTAACTCTGGAAGCATGTAATATTATTTTTGTTTAATTACTATCTCTTTACTCCTTAAGATCCTTAGTATCATATTTTCTTACATCTATAGTTTTATTTGATAGCTCATTTTCAATGAGATAAAACTATTGACTATTTCCACAGAACATACATATTTTTATCATCCATAGTAACTGTTTAAAATATGCTAGCTAGATGGTGGTGGCATGCGACTTTAATCCCAGTACTTGGGAGGCAGAGACAGACAGATCTCTGTGAGTTCAAGGCCAACCTGATCTACAGATATAGTTCCAGGACATCCAGGGCAGTTACACAGAGAAACCCTGTCCCTAAAAACTGGCTAGAAAGCAATGCATCTTAACATAAAAATTGGATGTTCTGGCTTTCTCAGGATTCTCAGATCATTTGCTAGTACTGATTGGAACATATAATTGCATCAGATGTAACCTAAGTCCATTTTCGTGTCCTTTTATAGAAAACGTGGGGCAGTGCAAGTCCCTGGAATACCATCATCTGCCTGCACACAAGTTCTTAGAAGAAGGGGAATCCTATGTGACGCTGGCTGTGGAAGTGGCCCTGATAGGACTGGGGCAGCAGCGGATCATGCCTGATGGGCTGTACACTCAAGAGAAAGTTTGCAGGAATGAAGAGCAGCTCATTTCTAAGCTTCAGGAAATTGAATTGGATGACACACTGGTGAAAATTTTTCGCAAACAAGCAGTCTTCCTGTTAGAAGGTAGCGTGATAAAGGGGACTGGTCAATGTATTAATAATCTTTGTTTTGTTAAGAGCACTGTGTAGATGCATTGAATATGATGGGTGTCCTCTTGAATACAATCATAGCATCTGAGACTTGCTCAACTAAGAAACCTGTCAACCAACTGAAGATAGAAATGTTTAGGTTTTTGTCATTTGATTTAGGTTTCTGCATAGGATAGCTTGTTAGAAATCAGCCCATTTAATGTCACTTGCTTGGTAAAGGACTGCTTTGTTCATGCTGTGTTTCCGGAGATGATGCAGTGTTTACATCTAGTAAGATATTATTGGTACCCATGTTCCTCTTTGCTTGATCAAGTAAATAATAAAGTGGAAGCTGAGTGGTATTCCTGTAGATTTATTAGCTGTTAAACAACATCTGGCCTCTTGGTGTCCTGTGCACCTGCCAACAAAGAACTGGAGAGACTACAGGAATGGTTTTTCTACTTCTCTTTAATAATGTCCCGGGAGTCACTAGGTGTAGGTTTCCTAAGGAGAAGCCTTCATAGACTATCAGAAGTAAAGGCAGATCTTTTTGGTTTTATCAGGCCTGGGTAATTTAAAGGCTCTAAACTTGTGTTTAGGCTTGGCCGACACTGTTGTCGAGATAGTGTTTTCTCAGAAAGGCGGCGTAGTTGGTGTAGCGTAGCGTGTGCAAATTTAGCTGGCTTCTCTTTGAGATGTGTGCTGTGATGGTAGGATTTGTCTGAGACAGCTTGGTAAAGTGTGCTGACATTCTGTGTCTGTAGAGAAAATACTATCTTAAAACCTCTGCATTTGTCCAAAGCTACAGATCCATTTGAAAGAAAATATTTTCAAATATATATTTATATATATATTTTTAAATGAAAAATGTTCTTAAACTAAACCTTAATATGATTCTTCATGGGGGGTGGGGAGTTCTGATTTTAAATTTTGAAGTACTCTCCTATAGTTTGTCATTGTTTACCTTTGTTTGTTTCTATCTAAAGTTGAAGGCATGTCCTGCCTATTGTCAAGACTAGTCTAGATCGTTTAACTACTTTTTAAATAAGAACTCTGTCTATGAGGTCGGGGGAGTGGAGTCTCTGCCTCCTCCCCTTTCTTGGCCTTCTAGGGTCCAAGGGTTAGCAGGGACAGGACTGGGGCATTCACAGGAAGGCTGTGGGCCATTTCTGTACATACCAAAGATAACCAGCTCCATTAGTGAGTTGACTCCATGAGCTCATGGCGTCCCCCTTGCATTTATAGTCTTTATGAGGATCAGGAGTTTTTTAGCAGATTGGATGCCTGAGAAGAGGGCAGTGTGGTTGGAGTGTGACTCTTGACAGATGTCAGGGTTTTGTTATTTTAGTACACTTGAATTCAGGGCATACAGCCATTATTAATCTAAGAGTAATTCCATAACCTAACCTAGTGTTTCACTTGTCGAGTATGCATTCTGGCTTTCTCTGAATAATAAAGAGGTAACTTCATGGTTAAAGGGACCCCTGAAAGGCAGTGGTGGAGAGTGATGGGTACGGGTAGTCTGCCCCGTAGATTGCTGTCGTTTGTCCTGTGGTGAAATGGACCTCGGGGGTTCAGTCACCCGGTGCTGTGCCTGTCTGTGGCAGATGGGTAGTGTAGGCAGTGTCTTTATTTCTAACAGTGTTCTGGAAACTCAGAGACTGGAATCCAAGACCAAGGTGTTGGCCAGTTCTGCTTAAGAGGGCTGTGTGTCTGGCATGAAGACCTCTGTCTGTCCTCACTTGACAGAGGCAGAAAGAGCTATTTGACCTTTCCCCACGCTTCTTACAAAAATTAGTCCTTTGGGAATTTTGAATCCTCTTTACTTTCCTCTTCCAACCTTTCCCAGGTCCCTGCCCTCCTTCCCTACACACCCATTTTGTGTGCTCTTTTTTAAAGAAAGCAGGTCTAGTTTGTGCTGCTCACATGGACTCTCAGATGTGTGGTCTTCCAGTGCAGCAGGGGAGCCTGCCAGGAGCTGTAAGCTGAGAGAAACTGATGCTCTCCCCGCAGCTACAGTTGTTAAAGGCTTCTCGGCCAGGGGTGGGACTTGATGCTGCTCTTCTCCTGTCACTGGTACTGTATCTGACTAGAGCCACAGCTGCTTCAGTTCTTAGGGGCCACTGCTCTGCTGTGTCTAGAAAGCGGTATCTTTGTAGCCATCACTGCCTCTGGCTCTCAGTCTCTCTGTCCCCCCACCCACCCACAGTGGTCCCTAATCCTAGGGAGGAAGGACTGTGTCATATATGTCCCACGTAGGGCTGGTCATTTCAGTCCGTTGGACTCTGCATTTTGAGCAGTTGTGACTCTGTCAGTTGCCAGCTATATCAAAAGGAAGTTTCTGTGATGGGGACTGAAAGATACAGTAATCTGTGGTTGTATTGATAAGCCCTTAGAAGTAATTGCAGACTGTCTTCAGGGCCATGAGGACCTCCCACGAAGGCCTGTGAGGACTTCCTCTGAGGTCTAGGCACAGGTTCTTGGTCCACGTTTGGGTTTTGACTTTTGGAGCAGGCCTTAAATACAGAAAGTGGTGTGTACTCCCATGACACTTCTACCACTGTTGGACCAGTGAGTGGGCGTATTTTGCCAAGCCAGTCATTATTGTATCTCAAAGAGTTTGTAGCTGGGCAAAAAGGCCTGTTATTTCAGTGTCTTGCTTCTAGGACCTCATTTAAATGTTCACAGAGTCTGCATCTCAAAATATGTTCACATTGAGGTGAGTTTTACTATATGAGTTTGGAAATTCATACACACTTAGTTCATCACAGTAACTTCAATAATGTAATTCTGCTTTGTGAACAAAGGGTACATATATAACACTATCTACTTTTCACAAATAGTGTGTAGCTAAACATTTTTAAATGTCTTACAAAGATTTGTAGATTTGGCAACATTAGAAATGTGTCATGGATTATAGTTGGTTAAGGTTAATATGAGTGGTTTATGATTTTCAAAATATTTAAATAGTGAATAACTTAAAAAATACTAATCTGAGAATTGAATTACTAAATGACTTCTAGATCACTCTAGAATATGTCTCTCTCCTACCTGAAACTGAGTCCAGGAAACTTGCGTCACCATTTTTTGTGAACTGCATTTCTTGCATTCTGAATTCTTTCAGTCTGTTTCTCATAGAAAACAAATGTATTGTGTCCTCTGAGCCACAGTGTCATGGTTCATAATTCTTGAACTCATGAAACAAATGTTACCCAGAGGTGACGTGGAAACTTAATTTATTAAACACTTTACAGTAACTAACCCTCAGAACACCTAAGTGTTGAGTGTTAGAACTAACCACTGTGGTTTCCTTTCAAAGCCAAAGTCTGTACTTCCCTTCGAGAGAAGCATTTGGGGAGCACACGGGGGCCCGGTGCTGCCACCGCACCTGTCAGAATTTACTAAGAAATGAGTTTTGACAGCTTAAATGTGATTTTGCTTTCAAAATTGGCCTGCTGGAGCCAGAAGAGTACATTTCCATTATTTTAATGTTTTTCTTTTGCTTATGGTGAATACCGAATGGCTGACTCCTTCCTAACCACTTTATGGAATTGCTGTTTCTACTTATTAGGAGCAGTAGTGTACTGACTTTGTGCTGAGGGCCCAACGTCCTCCCACACGTGAGACGGAGCCCTTTTCTGCACCTAGCATGCCGTGCGGCCCTAAAACCGTGTGGGTCAAGCTGCAGGTTCCTTAGCCAAGCAGCCTTCTGTGCATTTCTGTGTCTGGATACCCAGTTAGCATGTACTGAGAAAGAACTTTCTCAAGTCTTGCAAGACTTTGTGCTTCAAAGGGCCCCTTAATCAGGTATCCTTGTGCTGTGTGTGGGCTCTGCCTTGTCAGTTCCCTGGTTCCTATTTTAGCATCGGGACACTTGGGGAACTGTTGATGACGTGAAGCCTATATTGGGTACTGTACCCTCAAGAGCCTTAACTAAGAACTGCTTTTCTTTCTACTGTTACTTAGTTCAAATACTTAGCTCAATTAGCTGTACATTTATTTACATAAGGAATTTGAAATACTGTTCAAAGTAGCTATAAATTTTCATGAGGTTTTTAGATGCAGTTAGTAAGAAGTGTTCGTTTGTTCTTTAGGAATGTAAACTGTGTGTGTTCTCTTCCACAGCTGGCCCATACAGTGGTTTAGGTGAAATAATCCACCGGGAGAGTGTTCCAATGCACACATTTGCCAAGTATCTCTTCACCTGTCTGCTACCTCATGATGCTGAACTGGCATACAAAATTGCACTGAGAGCGATGCGGTATGTACCCACAGCCCAGCCCAGCAGAGGCCGTCCGTGTCCCCAGTGGGAGAGACTGGCTGCCAGCTGACCTCACACTCAGTCCTGTGTCTTAGAGGCAACAGAGTAGCTTAAGATCCCCTTTTCTTGCTTCCTGAACTGTGAGGCGAGCTGTGCGTTGTGTTGTGATTTTCCTTTAATGTAAAGGTGGGGCCGGGGTGGGGGGGGCGACTCTTTTTTAGCTGCTGTTAGACTATGGCCACCATAGCCTTTTCTCTTAATGGTAGAATTTGGTAATAAAGTACAACTTCAGAACAATTTAATCACAGGATATTAGTTTAACTCTTCCTGAATGATGAATTGTTTTTTTTAAAGAATTTTTTTAAATATGATAAATAACAAATCTAAAGGGAGTGTGGTAATCAAGGGGAACTTGTGACCCCCACATTGCAGCACTAGTTGAGGAGGGCCCCTGCATTACCAGGACACGTGAGTGCACACTGGTGGGCAGCTGGGGTGTGTCAGGACACATGAGTGCACACTGGTGGGCAGCTGGGGTGTGTCAGGACACATGAGTGCACACTGGTGGGCAGCTGGGGTGTGTCCAGGACACGTGAGTGCACACTGGTGGGCAGCTGGGGTGTGTCCAGGACACGTGAGTGCACACTGGAGGCCAGCTGGGGTGTGTCCAGGACACATGAGTGCACACTGGAGGCCAGCTGGGGTGTGTCAGGACACATGAGTGCACACTGGAGGCCAGCTGGGGTGTGTCCAGGACACATGAGTGCACACTGGTGGGCAACTGGGGTGTGTCAGGACACGTGAGTGCACACTGGAGGCCAGCTGGGGTGTGTCCAGGACACATGAGTGCATACTGAGGCCAGCTGGGGTGTGTCAGGTTAGGCATCTCTCAGGATCTGTTCACCACCTCCACTGCCTCCATCTCTTCAGTATTTTGGTCATGGCAATGAAAATGGTCTCTGCCTACTCACTTGCTTATTCTCATTTTCCTTTGAAAAATTAATTCACCAAATAATTATTTTTTACCAAGAATTTGCTCAATGTGGATGCTTTTTGATGTGCTCCTAAGAGCTCATTTTTAAATCTTGTGTAAGCTGTTCAGCTTGAAGGGCCTGAAGGGAGATCTGCTGTTCTTAAAGCTTTAGCCTTTCCCTTTTGCTGTTGTAAATGAATAAATGACTCACATTTTTAATGGAAAGTTCAGGTTATATATTATAATAATAGACTAAAGACAAGCCTTGTATAGATCTAAAAGCTTGAGTAGGTTTGATCCCATAAGAAGTAACTTTCTGTCCTTGTCTGTAATCGATACAAGATTGACACATGAATCCTTGCCTAAGAATTACCAGTATCTTCAAAGTTGTCTAGCATCCATCTGTCTTAGACTTGTGTAAGTACCATGTGTTAATCAATTGTGCCATTATATTCATGCAGGCTTAGGGTAGAGAGTGTGTGTGTGTGCACGAGTGTGTGTGTGCACGTGTGTGTGCACGAGTGTGTGTGTGTGTACCTGTGTGGCAGTGTTTCAGGACCGACATGTAATATCACATGCATTTCTAGATCACTGGAGAAATCAGTAATTTATTAGAGGAACCTTCTAATAATCTGTTGATCTCTAAATTGTCAAAAAGTCAGCCAGTAGCTAACATGAGTAGCAGTTCCCACATGAAACTGTTTGATTCCACTTGGTTTATGTTTTAGTGCACACTTTCATAAGTGAGTGTAGACTCCCACTTGTAGAAATTGGAATAGAAGTCTTCTGGGGGACAGATTCACCTACATGCTTACTCTAATCCTAAGAATTCCACTCTTGTTTTAAGGGGAAGACAGTTAGCGTTATAACGTGAGGTACTGTTGCCACTACCCCTGTAAAGTAAAGGGCGAGGCAGCATCGTATCATGTTCCTGTGGTTTTGGCTTACGTAACAGAATCTACTGTCCTGATGGATGTCGGGAGCCCTAGCAAGAGGGCACTAGCAGGGCACAGGGACTGCCTTATCCTCCTTGCTCTCTCCTCCTTGCTCCTGGCACCTTGCCCAGGGACCTTCTTTGGATAGGACATAGGGAACAAAAGTGCCTGAGTATTTCAGGGTAGCCAGGAAGTGGGGAAGGAAGAGGGAGACGGAGCATGCATGCTTTCCTCTTAGTCCTGAAGAGAGAGGGCAGCTTCTGTCCTCACTGTCTCATCACAGGGCTGTTGCCTGCTCTCCTCTATAGCAAGTCTGGCAAGACTCTGCTAGGGAGACTGGCGTTCTTGAATTCTATAAAGAGTAGCCTAGCAACTCTGCCAGAATTCTTCCTTCCTCATCCTCCACCTTGTCATACTGCCTAATGTTCTTTGACCCACAGTAAAAACGGGACCTGCGGCCAGCAGTATTCTCCAACCCTCACTCTTGGGGTCTCCAGCTCCTGTTTCACAGTCTCTAATACTAGTTGGCTAACAAAGCCAATGTGTTGATGATTCTTATGGCATTATTCCAGCTAGAGGAGAAATCACTAATGTGATTTGTTTTCAAGAATTGTTTATTGTCAACATAGATTGAAGCCAGAGATCATAAATTTATGCTCAGTTCTGTTCAGCCTCTGGCTGTTAGAACATAGTCTAACTCCAGATTCCTGAAGTCATAGGAACTAATTACATTAGCAAAGGCAAATGTATAGAAAGGAGGTCATTTTGTTATCCTTACCTTTATATTTTCACAAGTTAAGATTTTTACCTAGTGCTCTCTCTTGTAAATCCACTTTATTCTTTTTTTTATTTTCAATAAAAAAGAGTAAAAGGGTTTCTCAGTGTATCTCTAGCTATCCTGGAACTCACTCTGTAGAACAGACTGGCCTTGAACTCACAGAGATCTGCCTGCCTCTGCCTCTCTGAGTGCTGGAACTAAAGGCAAGTGCTACCACCATCTGGCTTTTTTTTTTTTTTTTAATGAGTGATAAGATTCAAAACTAGTACATGGAGATAAAGTCTCATGTTTCATAATTCTTGTGTGTCTGAATTTCCCTGAATGTTGTACAGTTTTCTTGGTGCTGCTATAAGATGAAAGGAAATCACTAGGTTTAAGTGGTGAGCGGCACAGCTCCCCGAACTGAGCCCAGCCAGGACCCATCTCCATAAGTGTCTACCTATAAGCCCGGCTTCTTCTGGCTAGTCATGTGGCCAGGGGAGGATGGGTAACGACTGAACGACCCTGCCTTCCTTCTCATTGCAGGTTACTAGTATTGGAATCTACTGCTCCAACAGGAGACCTCACCCGCCCCCACCACATCGCGTCAGTTGTCCCCAACCGATACCCTCGTTGGTTCACTTTAAGTCACATTGAATCCCAGCAATGTGAACTGGCATCCACCATGCTAACTGCAGCCAAAGGTAGTGTAATGTCCGGAAACCTCATTGTTTCATTGGTTTACACTGTCTTTTCTTTTTCCCCAGAAATTGTTGTTCTTTTAAGTCAAATTCTCCACAGTGGTTACTAGCAGATAAGTTTCAAAGAATCTTTTTAGAGATAATGACTTCATACTTTACTCTTGAGGCAAATGGGTGCTACTTATTTGAGCCTGGCTTTATCTTATTTAGCTATCATGGTACCTACCATGCAACACCGTCCCCCCAACAAAAAACATTAAGTCATTGAGATTTAGAAATAGAATAAAAGATTTGGTTAGTTTTTTTGTCTCTAAAGTACTAACTACAGAACATAAACAGAAGCTAGGAGAGCTGTTGGTCCGTGTCCCACCCCCACCCCCACCCACATGTTGGTTGGTTCTGGTTTATGCATGCTTTTAGTCACTGAGGGTGTGTCTCGGCTGATAGTTCTGTGAGGCTAAGATGGTTTACAGTCTTTGCAGTGACTTAGTTCTAACATGTGCACCAGCTGCACGCACCCCAGGTAAATGAGCGTGTGCCTTTTGTTCTGTGTCCTTTTCTCCTGTGTATGGCTTTTCTTTCTTGCGTTGCCTCACCTTCATTTGACTCAGTTTGATTTGCTTTTCCCTTGTTCGTTGCAGGCGATGTTCGGAGGCTGGAAACAGTATTAGAATCCATCCAGAAAAACATTCACTCCTCATCACACATCTTTAAGCTTGCCCAGGATGCATTTAAAATAGCAACCCTCATGGACAGTTTGCCAGACATCACTCTTTTGAAAGTATCTCTGGAGCTGGGCCTGCAGGTACTGGGCCTTCTTGGGGCACCAAAGACTGCTGCTAACAGCCTCGTAGGCTTGTGTTCATTTTCGTTTTTAGTGACTCTTTAGAGCCTGAGTGTGATGGACTTTTAGACAGCACTGTCTTCCAGAGCTCTGCTGGCTTCCAGCTCAGCCAATTTTAGTCTGGGCACAGCAACCACACAGCTAGAATCCTTATTTGTGTTCCTCGACTTTAAAAATATTTTTTTTTCTGAATTACAGCTTTGACATTCCTGTTGCTCTTGTGAATGAATGGAGAAATACTGCTGACCAGAGAGTTGAGTAAAGCCAGCATGTGCCATAAAGATTCAGTTGTAAGGGCTGGCTTTTTAGAGGCAGTATAAGTTTTTATTGATGTTTGCATTGGACAGTTTTGTCTCCTTTTTATAACACTGAGAAAACTGGGTAAAGGCGGGGCAGTCAGCCTGTTTCCAGTTTCGGAGTGGGCAGAACAGAAGGCAACCTCAGGGACATGTGGAGCCCTTTGCACCGGTGACACTTGCTCCCTTACAGTTCCAACACGGGTTACTGTCCACACCAGGAACCAGAGCCTGCTGCTTCTACTTTCTTCAGAGACCCATGCTGACTTTTGTGTTCTCGCTCATTAAAATGTAGTTACACCCTACCTAACACATGAGAATTAGAGGCCCTGATTAGATTATTGATTTTTTTTTCTAAGTTACCGATTTTTCCTTTGCTGGTGTACTAGCAGTGTTTAATGCAGTGGGAAATGCCAGTGCCCCTGTAACATGAGGTACTATACAGGCGAAGATGCAGAGGTGGCTTTTAAATGTGGTTTAGAGTTTTCTTTCTGAAACACATTTTCTTATTTTTTGGCTTACTTTTATTACAAATTGCCTTATTTTTCAGAGTGGTACAGAAAGACACACTGTGTGGTTTCTCTTTATGTTTGGAATTCTGGGTAAATGGCAGATTAGTGACCACTCACCCCTTGCTTGATTCTTTCTAGAATCTAAGAAGAATCCTGCAGAGCCCTTTCTAAGGTGTTAGGGTGTTAGGAGACTAGATACTTTTTGCTACATAAGTTGATCTTGGAAATTCTTAATAGAATGTAGGAGGGGGGGAATCGGCAACGATGCCGAAAATGTTTTCTTTCCATAGATCTGAGTTGCCATCCTGATCCGAGATTGAAGGAATAACCAGGAAGAATAACCAGAGTTACTGTTCTAAAGAATATCATACCCATACATTACCCCCCACACATGAGAAACTTCAGAAATAAGTCCTACAATATTAGTGCTGGGAAGAAGAGGGCCCAGAGTCCGATGATTTTTGTTTTGTTTTGTTTTGAGACAGGGTTTCTCTGTGTAGCAGCCCTATCTGTCTTGGAACTTACTCTGTAGACCAGACTGGCCTTGAACTCACAGAAATCGCCCTGCCATTGCCTGCCGAGTACTGGGATTAAAGGCGTGTACCACACCACCCGGCTCTGCTGGATTTATAACCCCATTTTTTGAATCAGAAAGACATTGAATGACTTTCTCAGGATGTCACATCTAGCTAGTACCAGAAGTGTTGGGTGGGCTTCCTACTTCGCAGGCCAAGGCAAGGCCTTCTGGGGGAAGCCAAGGATAGCTCCAAACAGACATGTAGATCCTCACTCTAATAAAAACGCTTGCTGGCTCTGGGAGTAGAGCCCCATTTATACTGTGGGATGAATTGGATTTTCCCCCATTGACATAAAAATGACCTTCAAGACATTTTTTACCCTGTTGTGACAGGTGATGCGGATGACACTGTCAACCCTCAATTGGCGACGGCGGGAAATGGTGCGGTGGCTGGTGACGTGTGCTACTGAAGTTGGTAGGTACTCGGAGACGCTTGCATCTCATGATAGGGGAAACTGTGGCTGCGGTGGCTTCCCCAGGGTGTTGCCCCCTCTAGCACACACCAGGGGTCCCTTCTCTGCTCCAGACTCTGTCCTTCACTTACTCACCGCTCGTAAACTATCAGAGCTCTGGTCTCTGCTTTCAGCGGAGCGAAGCAGTGGAGCCGCACGGTTTACCCAGTTCCCCAAGCCAACTCATTCCTCTGAGGCTTCTCTTCGTCTGAGTAGCAGGTAGAGGCCGATCACTTCATGGGATCTGAATGAACTTTGAAGTGCATGAGAAATTATAGCTGGCCGTGAGACTCTTGGGCTGTCAGTCAGCTGTGATTTATAGGGCCCAAGCCTATGGTTTCCCTTTGCAGGACTTAGAAAACGGCTCTGTCCCAGAAAGAACACACACAAGCAATGGTGGCTAGTGAAGCCATGGCTGGTTAAACTGTCTTTCTTCCTGTTTGCGTCACAAAAGGAAGCACACCTGTTGTTGGGGATACACTGCCCTGAGTGTCTGTCTACCGACAGCAGATACTGTAAAAATATTCTTCCCGTTCTTTCACTCACGTGTAACATAGTGTTATTTTGGCAGTCGTGAATTTTATCTCACACTAGTCTTAGATGTGAAAGTGCTGTGCTGAAACAGTGTAAAGGATGGGGCTTTTAGAGCTGCCCACACCTCTGCCTCTGTGGCAGGATAGACATCTGCTTCAAGTAGGTGTGGTCTGTGTCCAGATGGGTGAAGACACCCACATCATCTGCAGGTCCACTTCTGCCTACCCCTTTTTTCTTGATTGTGGGTGATGTTTTCTTGATTGTAGAGCTTAAAGTTTTGTGTTATATGGGTTTTATTTTAACTTGAACACATCACACCACATATATTAAGTCCCTATTTGGGTGAAGGTTGCCTATTTTTCCCCTCCAAATTCTATAGTTCATAACTGACAAGAGGCCCCAGTGAACAAGTGCTCATTAGTAAAAAACCATTGTCTGAAATGGCAAGCAGTGCAGTGCAAATACCAGCCACCAAGAGGATTGCTTCTTTATTACAGGAAGTTCATGTTCCTTTCGGGCATTTCACGGAATAACAATGCATGAACCTTCTTCTTAAAGGCTGCTCCGAGCGCATTACCTTCAGGGTTTCTGGGCTAGATCATGTTCTTGATGGTTAGCAATGTGAGCATCAGTTCGGAACGTGCAAACAGAACCTAATCCAGCCTTCCTGTCCATAGTAATGAGGGCTCGTGTATGTTCCTCGCAGGTGTTTATGCCCTGGACAGCATCATGCAGAGCTGGTTTACACTCTTCACCCCCACCGAGGCCACAAGTATTGTTGCAACTACCGTGATGTCCAACAGCACCATAGTCCGCCTCCATCTGGACTGCCACCAGCAGGAAAAGCTGGCCAGCAGTGCCCGGACACTGGCGTTGCAGTGCGCCATGAAGGACCCTCAGAATTGCGCCCTCTCTGCACTGACCCTCTGTGAAAAGGATCACATAGCTTTTGAGACGGCGTACCAAATTGTCCTCGATGCTGCTACCACCGGCATGAGCTACACGCAGCTCTTTACAATAGCACGGTACATGGAGCACCGCGGGTACCCCATGAGGGCCTACAAGCTGGCGACCCTGGCCATGACCCATCTCAACCTGAGCTACAATCAGGACACACACCCTGCCATTAATGACGTTCTGTGGGCCTGTGCACTTAGTCACTCCCTTGGTAAAAATGAGCTCGCAGCTATCATACCTCTGGTGGTGAAGAGTGTCAAGTGCGCAACGGTACTGTCGGACATTTTGCGCAGATGCACTCTGACCACTCCTGGCATGGTGGGACTTCACGGAAGGAGGAACTCTGGTAAGCTCATGTCACTGGACAAAGCCCCTTTGAGGCAACTCTTGGATGCCACCATCGGGGCCTATATCAACACGACGCACTCACGGCTCACCCACATCAGCCCTCGGCACTATAGTGAGTTCATCGAGTTCCTCAGCAAGGCCCGAGAGACCTTCCTTATGGCACACGACGGACACATTCAGTTTACACAGTTCATTGACAACCTGAAGCAAATCTACAAAGGCAAAAAGAAACTGATGATGCTGGTTCGGGAGAGGTTTGGTTGATAGACCTTGTATGAGTGGGTGGGGGTGGGGCGGGAGGGACGGTTTGTTTTTACTTGAGCCTGCCTTTGTACCCTTTTTAACTTAAAGAACAGAGCCACACCGGTATTATATGTGTATAGTTCTATTGCGTTTGCAGACTAAATTGTCATGTTGTGAAAGTTTGTGTGTTTTTCAGTTTTTCCCTTTCTCTTTCCTTTTGTTTTTAATTCTTTTTTATCGGTTTGTGTGAGAGAGGTTGAAAAGGTTTGGTTTACACTGAGTATATGTTGTCAAGTGGCAAAAGTCCACATAGCTCTCCTGTTTTCTGTATACGTTCACAGCCTCAAAAAAAAAATAATTGAAATGGCTTTAAAAACCAAACAAAACACCTCCATCCTGTGATAAGTACCTCGAATGGATTCAGCTTTACTCCTTTGTAACCCATCTTCACATTTTCAGCATATTTAACAAACCAACAAAACGAAATACCAGTAGTGAAAAGGCTGACCCACGTGGCTTTGCAGTGCTGTCCATCCAGAAGCATGGCACACGATGCTTGTGCATGTGGAAACTTAGCGACTGTCAACATACATTCTCAGGGATTTATCCAAAAAATTAAAAAAAAAAGAATGAGAGCATTTATTGTACTGTATATATATTATAGTATATGTCTGAATATTGAAAATATAACATTAACTAATTTATAAAAAATATTCTATGTAATGCAAAATACTTGAAGCTGCAGTAGCTTGGTTTTAAACAAAAACAAAAAAATGGAGAGTAAACCTATCAGAAGGACTAAAAAGTAGGCCTCGCTTCAGGGTTGGCTCAGGCAGTGACCTTCAAGCGGGGCATCTGCAGAGCCACCTCCAGACTGCGAAGTTGGACTGAGCTCTATCGGGAAGATTCCATACATATATATATCTATACAGCTTCTGTATGCATATGTATATGTATACACAGACACCAACGACCACTACACCACACATGCTTGTAACAGGCACTCGAATAGAGAGACAATACACAGCCAGAGCAGCAAGCCTTAGCATTAAGAATACACAGTATGCCAGAACTGGGGTTCGTGCCTCCTAGCCTAGGAAACTTAAAATATCCTTTTGACACAAAACGCAAAATGTTTTCCAAAACAATTGACATGATCCATTACGCCTTTGCAGTGCGCTAATAAGCTAACGTTTGTGCACAGATAACATTATATATATATCATATATCTATTCTGCATAGGTATTCTGACTTTGTGCAGGACAGAAAGTTGTGTAGGTATGACTGTTCTACTTTTCAGTTCTCTCTTTTTTTAAATATATTTTATTTTCTCTAGAATTACTCAAACAAAAGCAGCCTTCTATCTTGCCTTGTCTTAATGCTTTAAAATAACCAAACTGGAGATGTAACTACCAAACTGTTCATTCTATTATTAAAATACCAACCTTGGTTACAGTGTAGTGTCTTTACTTTAGCTGATGGTTCTGTAACCTTGTGCTTCTTAAAGCAACTTTTATGTTTTGGTGCAAAAGTTGTCCCGTGTCTCTTGTTCCCTTCATTAGAGAACATGCTAGAGGTATGTTTGTAGGTCTTTTTGTTTAGAAGAACTATCTCATGCGCTCCATTTTATTTATTATAATAGATAAAAAGAAAAAAAAAGGTTGTACTTCATCACTCATGTAAACATGCTCATGAAGTTGAAAGTAATTAAGATTTGATACACTGATATCAATTTATTTATGTAACTAAATCACTGTTTTATAAACTTGTTAATGATCAACAATTTTTGTTTTGATTAAAATTAGTTTTTTGAAAGTTGATTCTGCCTCCTTTATGGTATATCTCTTGTTACACGTGAGTTGGGTGACGATCAGCCTGGATGTTACCACATCTCTAAGTATTTAATAGCAATTACTTCCATCTGCTCCATACTTCTGCGCTGTGGTCCAGGCCCTTTTCTGGGCCCTAGAGATAGGTACAGTGGCGAACAAAACTAGTGCCTGGGCCTTGCTTTCTACTTGGTATAGAAGACAGATTAAAAACCAGATGTCCTCAGAGATAAAAATAAGATGGTAGCCGGATTGTTTTCAGTCTCTACAGTTCTTCACCGCTCCCTGAGTACTTTATATGTTTAATAAATGCTAAGGTTGTCAGGCTTTTCAGTGTATGTGGTTTTAAAAAAAATTCCATTATAAAGGATGAATTTTTTTTCTTTTGTGTGCTCTTTTTTTATTAACATTTTTTATTGATTTTTATTGAGCTCAACATTTTTCTCTGCTCCCCTCCCTGCCTCTCCTCTTCCCCTTCTACCCTCCCCCAAGGTCCCCATGCTCCCAGTTTACTCAGGAGATCTTGTCTTTTTCTACTTTCTACTTCGCATGTAGATTAGATCTATGTAAGTCTCTCTTAGTGTCCGCATTGTTGTCTAAGTTCTCTGGGATTGTGATTTGTAGGCTGGTTTTCTTTGCTTTATGTTTAAAAACCACCTATGAGTGAGTACATGTGATAAAATTGTCTTTCTGTGTCTGGGTTACCTCACTCAATGTTTTCTAGCTCCATCCACTTTCCTGTAAAATTCAAGCTGTCGTTATTTTTTTCTGCTGTGTAGTACTCCATTGTGTACCACATTTTCCTTATTCATTCTTCAGTCAAGGGGCATTTAGGTTGTATCCGGGTTCTGGCTGCCACAAACAAAGATGATCCATCTACTCTCTGTTGCCATGAACATAGTTGAGCACATGTCCTTGTGGCGCGATTGAGCATCCTTTGGATATATACCCAAAAGTGGTATTACTGGGTATTGAGGAAGGTTGTTTCCTAATTTTCTGAGAAATTGCCACACTGACATCCAAAGGGGTTGTGCCAGCTTGCATTCCCACCAGCAATGCATGAGTGTTCCTTTTTCCTCACAACCTCTCCAGCATAAGTTGTTATCAGTGTTTTTGATCTTGGCTATTCTTACAGGTGTAAAATGAAATCTCAGAGTTGATTTGCATTTCTCTGATGACTAAGGATGTTTCCTTAAGTGTCTTTCAGTCATTTTAGATTCCTCTGTTGAGAGTTCTCTGTTTAGGTCTATACTCCATCTTTTTTTTTATTGGATTATGTGTTCTTTTGGGGTCCAATTTCTTGAGAATTTTGGAGATCAGACCGTTGTCTGATGTGGGGTTAGTGAAGATATTTTCTTAAGGGATAAATTCTATACATTCAGCATAGATATCTTTACTGCATAATCAAAGATCAGTGTACAGAAAGATGAAAATGTAGTGTGTATATGCGTGCATCTTAAAATACCACAAAATGCACCGCTGAGTATACAGTTCAGTACAGTATGTTTATATTATTGCATACAGATCACCAGAAATTTCTTCATTTGAAGAATGAAGCAACTGCCTCCCCCAGTGCCTGGTTGATCCATCTCCTCTCTGTTGCCATGAATTGGCTGCTTTTAATGAAGGCTTCCCCTGAGTGAATCCATTCGCTAATCTGTCTCCTTGCAACTGGCCTATTTCTCTTAGCGTGGTGTCCTCCAGGTTCATCCATGTTGAAGCATGTGCCAGAGTTTCGGCTTGTTAAGGCTTCTCTCCATCCCATCGTATAGACCTACCACATTGTTTACTCATCCTTCAGTAGACCTCTGGGCTGCTTCTACTTGCTAGCTGATGATAGCAATGCTGCTTATAAGTGGGGAGGTATTTCTTGCAAAGATTCTCAATTTTGTGGATATGGATACATACCCAGAAATAGAATTGACAAAATAGGGGTGTTTTTGTTTTTTTTATGGTTTTTGTTGTGAGGTTCTCCAGTTTTTAGAATGTACCCTTTTAAAATACTTTTAATTTCTTAACATCTGTTCTTAAAGGCAGATGACAAAGTTAAGAAGTTAAGCCAGTAGGTAGGAGTGAAAATAAATGAATCTATGTCCAGTTACTGTCTAGTAGAAATAAAAGCACTCACATGGTACAGAATTGCCTCTCTTTTTGTAAGTTTATTCATAGTTTTGTAATAGTTAATATTGCTAAGGGCAAATAAAGTTTATGTAAGTATGTAAGTACTGGAACATTCCACCGCGAAGTAGACTGCCAAAAGGGGACTCTGGCATCAAAGGAAGAAGATCTGTGCCTTGCAGTTGGCCAAGAAGTGAGCCTATCCCTTGGTGAAAACTAGTCTTGTTTTTATGGATAGCATCTTTACAGGGGGTGATAAGACTGTTTGTGCAGCTTTTCTCTGAGTGATGGAGAGCTAAGTGCTGGACCTCCAGCCGCGTGGTTCTTTGGTACCAAGCGTCCAGCAGACAAACCGATTTCATCATCTCTGGTGGTCTGCTGCTAGAGAACATCCTGAGATTTTAAATTTGAATAGCGGAGAGGAGAAAGAGAAGCAACAATTTTAAATCATCCAGAGGCAAAAGAGTTGACTTCTAATTGGGGCCTTTATTTAGTATCTTACTTGAGGATAAGAGCTATAGTTTGGGGTGTTTCGTGACCTTCAAATATTAGTTGTGAACTGAATAAAAAACAGATCACTAGTCATAGTGCTTTAATAATAAAGGAGAATTGAAATTTTTTTATATTGCTGAAAAACTTGAAATAAATGGTCAGAAAATGGAAAAATCATTTAAGAAACTTGATATGCTTTAGTAAAAGACGTGAACTAGGTAGGAGCATTCACCAATATAAACAAATTCAGTCTAGTTCAGATGAAAAAAGGAAATGTTTTGGAAAAGTTCTGAATGGTTCATTCAGGAAACTTTCTACAGTATGATAGGGATGCTTCAGATACAGAATGAAAGCAATGCGCCTATAGAGCTTGGAGAGGGAGATGCGTAAACAGTATTATGTCACAAAGGAAGGAGAAAGGTTTAATTTAGGGAGACCAGTCCAGGAAGACCTGTTGTAAGATGTGAGCAGATTCCTGGGGAAATACAGGAGTTGGCGTGCAGATGTCAGAGACACAGTGTTCCATGTGGTACAAGTGTGGAAGGTGCTAGAATGCCAGCAGAGGTACCCATGGGGCAGATTGGGATGGGTGATATTGACGCAAATGTGGGTGGGGGTAGAAGACAGCAGAAGTGATTGAGACAGGTTCATTGCTAGAGGGGTTTCTAAATCATGGCAAAGAGACTTTGTCTTTGAAGATTCCAAAGTGAAGAGGTTGTGATCTGGCAAGGATGCTCAGAAGCTGTCGCTGGCTACTGTGTGGTCAGGAGCACGAGAAATAAGCAGGGAGATGAATTAGGAAGCTGTTGGGAACAAACCCATTGAGTTCGGACCCACCAGGCTCAGCGGAGATGGTGACCAGTGGTTCTAGTCTTTGTGTTGCAGGATGCTGAGCCATGTCCTGGTTTTAGATGTTATGTGTTAGAAAAATACCAGAAATGACTCCCAAGTTTCAATCTTGAGCTGCTAGCAGATGTCCCATGGATGGAAATGGAGATGATGTTAGGGAAGACGTTTCTCAGGGGAGGAAGAGTTCAGTATCACACGTTTTAAATCTGATGTCTATAAGACCCACATGCAGCTGTCCGCAGGTAGTTCAAGAGAAAGCTCGGGGCTAGAAAGATGTGAGAGTCACATTTTTAAGTGTTTGGTAGAGTAAGGAGTGCGTGAGATAATTCGATGCAAAATAAAATCCTGAACACGTTATTTGCCTAATGGAATTGTTACTATGACAGACAGTACCCTACCCCACTCTGGTTTCATGGTCCTTACCTCTCAATAGTAGTTCCCTTCTTGCACTGGGGCCTCTGAGTTTGTCTTTATTGTCCATAGTTGACTTCAGTCTCTTAAAATGTTTTTTCCAGATGTGGTAAACATGCTTCTGACCATCTTCACATCTGGAGAGCTCTCACAGGAAAAAGGCAGGGGGCTCTGTTCAGGCTAGATCGTGGCAGGTAAGGGGTGCTCTTCACTGGGAGGTATGACTCCCAGAAACTCTGCCTGCAGCTGAGAAACCTGCTGTGCCTTGTGTACCTACAACCATTGGAGCCTTGAGAACAGCTGCCTTAGCAATGGTTTGATTTTCCTGTGCTGTTACTTGACGTGGATTGCATAATTTCTACATTTTGAAGAATATTAGTTGCTTACAATTCAACTAAGAAGCTATAAGCCCTATTCCTCTGTTCTCCCCAACCCCCCCCCCAGTACCTCCTCTCTCCCCAGCTTTCTATTGTGAATTTTCAAACCTACAGCAAGGTTGAAAGAGTTAGTGAAATGAGAGCCACAGTTTCGTGATGGTTGGTGTGACCTATATTCATCGCTCGGGCTTGGGCTCTAGGCCCTGTTTGTGTGGAAGGCTGGGCTCTGCTGCGAACCCTGACTGTTACATGGGGTACCTGGGTCCAAAGAGAGAAAGGAGAAAACTTCTAAACGCAAGACTGGGGACACCTTCCTATTGGAGGTAGGAAGAACTATGAGGAATGGAAGAAAACAAATAAATTGCCCACTGGGCCAGGTGGCGGTGGTGGCACATACCCTTAATCCCAGCACTCAGGAGCCAGAGGGAGGTGAATCTCTGTGAGTTTGAGGCCAGCCTGGTCTACAGGGTGAGTTCCGGGACAGTCAGGGCTACACAGGGAAACTCTGTCTTGAAAAACAAAACCAAAAACATAAATAAATTGCCCTATATAGACGTGCACTAATGTTCAGTGGAGAGAATACCAGAGTTTGTTTATTAGAGTGTGGTCTATGAACCACCTGCGTTAGAGCCACCTGAAGGACAGTCAGATATACTCACGCCTAGCGCCCAACCCAGACCGAATTAGTAAGGGGACACAAGATTGTCTATAATTATAATGAAGCTTCGTTTTTTTAAAAAACAG